AGAATGAAGAAAATGATAGGAGAGAGATCAAGGCATCTGGAGACGTCGATTGACTTTATATATATATATATATATATATATATATATATATATATATATATATATATATATATATATATATATACAAATGTAAGAACGAAGAATAAAATTTCAACGTTCAAAATATTAATTTAAAACAGGATTCAATACAAAAGTAGAGCAATAAATATTTATTATTCACTGTTACATTAGAACATGTAAATATCCACTACAAAATTGTAAAAAGAAATGTTGATTTACCGTTGAAACAAAAATGTACAATTTTGTAGTGGATATTTACATGTTCTAATGTAATAGTGCATAATATATATATATATATATATATATATATATATATATATATATATATACATATATATATAAAAATATAGTTTTTAGGTATACTATATTTATAGGTTAAAGGGATAGAGCGTATTTAAATATAACAGTGGACATTAAAGTTAATACCCAGAGGCAACAGTTTGGTGAGGGGATTAACTATTTACCCATAGCTGGGACCCTAACAAGTGCTGTTACCCCTGGCCAGAGTGGACCTGGGAACACCAGCAATTAAAAGGCGGTTCCACGCTCCTCAAAACCTCCTGACCCGAGTCCTTACCCAGGACACACATTTTCATTGGTAATACGTGTGTGTGGGAGAGGCTTGTGTAGCATCGTCCTCCTGTTTATCATCCTAGTGCACGCGCGACAAGATTTTGACTGGTGATGGGATAGGTCTTAGATTCAAACCTCTTTTTTTTAAAGGCGCGTACAGAAATGCCATCAGCAATCGAAAATGGGATCAGAAATTTATTTCTTAGTCCCCACTCTTCTCCAGTAGCCCTATGCGTCCTAGTGAGATTATTATAAAAAAATATTTTTCTACTTTTAAAATGTTAGTCTTGAATAAGTGTATAATCGTCTAGCTTGTTTTTTGGGGTTTTTTTTTTGTTTTTTTTTAGTACCCGTGTAGTGGGTTGGTATTTTCGTCCGGTATCAGAAGATGGTAATGTTATTGGACCACAATAACACAAAAACTTGGTTGGAAAATGAAGGGTCATTTTTTACCGACGCATGTGTGTGTGCTAACTCGAAGGTAAGAGAGTGGTCGACCACAAGTCAAGATGACGTTGAGAGATGGTAATTGAATTTCCTTTCTTTAGGACCGCTGCAAAACACGTCAGAATCCAACGATTCCGAAGTATCCAGACACTAGATGATCTCTTTTCCGGAAGTGGAGTCACACATTTCGCACGAGACCGGAAGTCTTTTTTTTTTTTTTGATTCGATTTGCATTATGGGAATTTTTTTTTTTTAATTATTATGTTTATTATTTATTTTATTTATTATTTAATTTTAATTCTCCCAAACACGTCCTTTAGCGAAACGTGCATTTTTATGAAGGTCAGACGGTTTGTGTTAAAAAAAAATGTAACACTTGTATATCTTTTCAGCTCAGAGGTTAAAACCCGTCAAAATTTGTGAAGGATCCATTTTTAATTTATGGAAAATTGTTTCGTTTTTTTTTGTTTTTTGTTTTTTTTTTTTTTGTATTTCATGACCAATGAAAGCTATGTTCTCATGCTCTTGTAAAAATATGGCTGGAGTCTTCAGCGATCCACCATTTCCAAATAAATAGAAGTCAGGTCAGTTAACGAAAACAGAAGAATTTAGACATCAAGGGGACAAGTCAAATCCACATCAAGGAGCAGAAGGCATTCGACATCAAGTAGGTACCAGTTACCAGTCAGCTGTACAGAGCCAAGAAGTGAAAATTCTCCTGCGGTTGGGTAACAAAGAACGAAAAGAAATTTTTACAAGCAAGAACAGTGTTAATTTAAAGGGGACTTTTCTAAAATTACTATATGTTCCAGAGACGCTCGTGAGGTAAGTAAAAGTTAGTGATTTCATTTTTTTTTCTGCTTTCTTAAATTGTTTTCCCTTTTTGTCAATGAATCTTGGTCTTTTCCCAAACTGTAAATTTTTCCAATTTTTCGATGCTAATCCTTTTTATCAGAAATTTGGTATCTTGCCTTAATAGGCACACAAAAGGAATTTTTTTGTGAAAACTTTGTATTTGTACCTTTTCATAATTGTGAAAAAAATGTTTTTCCTTTAAAATTTTACGCAGTGGTTGAGTCTTATTTTGGGATTTGCTCCAATTATGACAAACTATTCCTACTGTGTTTTCTGTTTGGCACAAGAAAATAAGTTTTATTGGTGGAGAATAAAATTTTGATATTATCGCATTGCTGGGTGAATTGATTCTTTAAAAAAAATAAATTTCCTTAAAATTTGAGCTTTTTTTTTTTTTTTTGCTTAATCTACCTGGATGGCTAATGGTAATCTTAGGACTGAGAAATTTTAGGTAAACAAGTTTCGATGCCAGACACTAATAGGTTAACCTAACCTAGTGTTGAATCGAGTCGAGCTTCTCGGCTTGACGGTCGAACTCTCTGCCTCTGAGCAGAGAGGAACCCGGACGAGTCTCCGTCGAAGGGCAGAGTCTGGTTCGGGGAGGTTGACCAACCCGATCCCGTTTATACGGATTCTACGGGCATTTTTTGGCCGAGCCTACGGGCTCGGGAAACCCACGTTAAACTTGGCCTTGTGCCACATGCAACCCTCGGGTGGGGGGGGGGGCTATATACCTAGTGGGAGTTCAGTTAGTCAGTTATGTGCCATGCGTGATAAACGCGTAGGCGATCAGGTATCTTTCGATACATGACTGACGAGGCAGATTTTTTCCCGCAGTAGGTTGCCATTTCTTTCGGCGGTAGACCAGTTGCCATCCAAGGCTATAGAACCCAGTCTGTCCTGCTATTTTACCCATAGCTGGAGGGATAGAGAAGAAGAGGATTCATACCTTTCCCAAGGGTATTAGCACGTAAGTGAATGTAATGGATTCGACTGGAATTTATTGAATTCAATTACGTGCTAATACCCTTGAGAAAGGTAGCCATCTTACATGTCCTAAAAAGAGAAAGTTAGCAAATGTATAAAAACTATCACATTTGTTGTTCTATTGTACGCGTTTCCTTACTTTGCTCGATTCAGCAGCAGCAACGGTCTGTCCTTCTATTTACCCACAGCTCAGAAGAAGAGGATTCATACCTTTCCCAAGAGTATTATCACGTAAATGAATAGACTTCGACTGGAATTCGAACTCGGCTCTCCGATTCCTCAATCCGAGCGGCTATCCATTATTCCACCTTGCCTCCTCTGTGGGAGTTAATTAAGCGAAAACATTTATGAAGTTTAATAATTATTAAATCCAGCGGATTTTTTTTAGCAATTAACCCCCAGCAAGGCGGGAGTGCCACTAATACGCAAGGGGTCACAGAGAGTGTAAGTAAGCGGGGGAAAACTATGTAGGCGGGTGAGGAAAGGATAAAAAGAACGGGTATAGGTTGACATAACATTTAAATTTTTAAAGATTGTAGTTATCAGGGATGCAAGTAAGAGGAAAGGAGTTCCACTGTCGGGAAGTGCGAGAGAAGCTGTTGGAGTAGAAGAGGCAGTTACATTTAACTGTTTCAACAGTAAAAGGGTGGGACCGAGATGCAAACCTTGTAGCATGCTTAAATTCATGCAGTCAGGGCAACAGTGAAAATAGCTCGCCAGAGCAGATCCTATGAAAATGTCTATAGAAAAGACAGAAGGAAGTCACATTGCGTCGGTGAGAAAGTGATTGGAGTCGAGACCCCAAGTCAGTGAACCTACAGATGAACAGTGGGGGCACCAGACCATATATGGAAATAGTATTACGTGCATGGACAAATGTTAGATTTGTAGATGTGAAGGATGGACTCAGACGAGAAAAACCTTCGGCGTGACGCAGAGAACCAACTTTCCTTGTGGAAGATGCAACAATTGATTCAATGTAGTTTGTTCCACCTCAGGTCCCAAACCTTTGGCTGATAGTGTATCTCTATCTATAAAAGGCAGGATGTGTGTCTGTGTGTGTGTGTGTGTGTGTAACGAATGCACGACCGCATTTTTCGACGGGTTTGCACCAAAATTTACTTGCACATGCTCCAAGTTAGTGGGAAGGCCAAGACCGACTTTGCATTTCCCAACTCCCATCGATAGTGGAAATAATCGATTTTTTCATGCTTCTACGGCACTTTTAATGTAATTTGCGGCCATTTTCTACTGGCCAGAGTGAGAGTCTATAGCTGGCTGCCACGAATAGGCAGGAAGATTCTATTGGCCAGCGTGAGAGCCAACAGCTGACTGACACGAATGTTAACTAGCATGCTAGCATGCAAAAAAAAAAAATCGATAGCTGCATTCGTCACAAGTGGGAAAGATTTAAATCTGCATGGCACTTTACTCCAATTGGCTCATTCGCTTGCTTAAACTCAACGTCGATTCTGATTCCGCAGAACTGGGTTGGGTGTGAAAAAGTATTTGTAGTTAACATTTTTTTTCATTCGGTTTTTCCAGTTACGAGTCCTTTTGTAAAGCTGATTGTTTTGTGTTCATTTTGTTTAGTTCTTTTTTCGTAACAGATTTAATGTTTAGTATAGAGCTTAGAAAAAATTCGCAGTGTGAGATAGGCAAGAAGTAAGGCATGTAGCAACATCAGCACGGCAAAGGGCACTCCTTTAAAGGCAAGAAAGGGCAAAACTATTTTAAGTCATGTGATAGCGATTGCTGTATGAGTCGTACGATTTTTGAATCAAGCGATTTAAATCCCGAATCTAACCCAGACGTTCATGTTATATTTGGCAAATATGTGAAGCTATTAGTTTAAAAAATTGTGATACGGTTGACATTTGACATTGTCCAGAGAGTGTTGATGGTCGTGTTGATGGTCGTGTTGATAGAATTTGCAAAGACTTTCAGACGTTCGCATTATCAGAGACAAATACCCAGAGTTCCGTGCGTATGTCTGCTGATAAATAATAACATAGATCGTTAGGTTTATACAACTTGAACATATGACAACACTGTAAGTTCTTCGTACATCTATTCAGTTACTTCTTCTTACCATCCACCGACGAAAAAGAGAGACAGCTGAAGGTATCGCTCCAACAAAGCGAAATGAATCGATGATAATTGAAGTAATCGGTTACTCTACTTAAAAACCGACAAGACGCTTTTGGGTGAGTTCTGTGAGGGGCAGGTCGAACGAAAGGCGACTGGGATGAGTTGGGGGAAAGGAAGGAGTAGAAAGAGAATGAAAAATAAAGAAGAGTGGGAGTAACAGAAATGAAAAGAAAAACTGAAAAGGCATGGAAAGTAAGAGTGAGAGGAACACGAAGAAACCAGGAAGGGGGTGGAGAAAAGAAAACAAAAAGAGTGAGAGAAAGAGAAATAAAGGGGGGAGGAGAAAAGCATGTCATTAAAATAAAGTAGAAGAAGAAAGAAAAGAGTGAGAGGGACACGAATAAACTAAGGGTGGGGAGGAGGTGGGAAAACAAAGAGAGAGAGAAAGAAGAAAAAGGGTAGGAGAAAAGCACGTCTTTTAAAAGAAGGAAGTTTCTACGTCCTTATTTTAAAGACGAAAAAAGAAAAGGTAAAGAGATAGAGAAACAAAAAGAGAAAAAAAAGAGAGAGAATGTATGCAAGAAGAGGCTGAGAGGAAAAGAGGAAGAGAGAAAAGGAGAGAAGGAGAGATAAAGTGATAGAAAAGAGTGAGAAAGAGAAAAGTGAAAGAAAGACGGAAATAGAAAATGAAAAAGAAAAGGACGACGAAATAAATAAAAAAAAAAGAATGATGAAACGCTCAAGAGATAAAAAAAAACAAAGCGAAAGGCGAGAATAAAAGAACGAAAAAGAAGCCTAGAAAGAAGAGGAAAGTAAAGTGCGAAAAGAGGGTGGTAATTTAAGACATGGAGAGAAAGAGAGAGTCAAAAAGAAAAGAAAGTAAAGGGTGAAAAAAAAAAACGAGACAAGAGAGGAGAAAGAAAAGTTAAGAAACAGGAGGGGAGAAAAAAAGTAGAAATAATTAATAAAACGGAGAGAGGAAGTAAGAGAGAAAAAATGACAACGTGAGCTAGAAAAAAAAAAGGAACGACAACGGAAGCGAGAGAGAAAGAGAATGAAAACCAGTGCTAGGGAGAAAAAATAGGAAGGAAAACGAGAGAGAAAGAGAGAGAAAGGGAATGGCAACAAAAGAGAGAAAAAGGAGTTAAAACAAGACAGAAAAATAAGAATGAGAACGAGAAAGAAAAACGGGAATGAGAACGAGAGAGAGAGAGAGAGAGAGAGAGGAATGAAAAATAAGAATGACAAATAGGAATGAAAAAGCGAGAAAAATAGGAATGAAAACGAGAGAGAAAAATAGGAAAAGAACGAGATAGAAAAATAGGAATGAGAACGATAGGAATGAGAACGAGAGAGAAAATAGGAATGAAAAAGCGGGAGAAAAATAGGAATGAGAACGAGAAGGAAAATAGGAATAAAAACGAGAGAGAAAGACAGGAATGAGAAAGGGAGAGAAAGACAGGAATAATATCGAGAGAGAAAAATAAGAATGAGAACAGGAAAGAAAAATAGGAAAGAGAACGTGAAGGAAAAATAGAAATGAAAAAGCGAGATAAAAAGGAGTGAGAACGAGAGAGTAAGACAGGAATGAGAACGAGAGAGAAAATAGGAATGAAAAAGCGGGAGAAAAATAGGAATGAGAACAAGAAGGAAAAATAGGAATAAGAACAAGAGAGAAAGACAGGAATGAGAACGAAGGAGAAAGACAGAAATGAGAACGAAAGAGTAAAATAAGAATGAAAAAGAGAGATAAAAAAAACGAATAAAAACGAAAATAAGGGGAAAAAACAGCGTAAGAAATGCAAAACAAAAAGAACTTTATCAAACAAAGAGAGGATAATAATTGAAGAAAACGTGCTCAGAAAGAAGTTAATTTAGAAAAAAAAAGGGTCTAGGGAACCTGAATCGAAGAAAAAGTAACTAAATTGAAAACAAGAATAAATAAATAAATAAATAAAATGATTACAAGGGGGTAATTTTGAAAAATAGTAAATTGAATGAGATGCAGATGAGAGGGGTGGGATGAGAGTATCCAGGGGAACATTTTTCTCCATTCGACTCTCTCATGTCTACACCTCAAAACTCATCTCTTTCCCAGCACAAGAACACAAAGAAAAGAAAATTATCTTAACATACCATCTATTAAACAGCACGTTATTATATTACGGAACTTAAGAGTGAAATTTGTGTAATTTAATTGAAATATTTTTTATTCCAATTATTGTAATAACTTTTGTATGATTCTCGTCTTGTATTTTCTTTTTTCTTTCATCCTTTTTGGTTTCATCTTTCAACATCTACCTAAGTTGACTCCGGTGTTTCTTTTTCTTCTCTTTCTTGTCATTATTATCAATTACCAATTATTACCCTAATCAATCACTCTATCATCATTATAGCCTCAAAAACGTAACTTGTCCATTCTAACCATTATCGTGTTCTTTCTCCACTTATTGTTTTCCACACACGATTGTTGTCGATTTTTCTTCTTTTCGTGACTCTTCTTATTTCTTGTGATGCGTGCCTTCAGGATGTGATCGATCATAGCTCTCCATAGCTTCCTGCTCTCGTAACTCTAAGTAACGTGTAACTCTTTATCAGCCCTCTTCGTCTGCACTCTGATATTTATTCCCACAGTTTACTCGATTTTTCCTCTGCCATTCTTCCCTTCAATGTCTTGTGTGTATTAAATTCGCCTAGTCATCTTTTCTTATTATTTTTCCTTGAAATTTCACTTGTCTCTATTTTTATGCTAAGTATAAGTGTCTTTTCTCCTTCCCGTTTTCCTTAAAACTTCCTCGTTGCGCACATGTCTTCCCCGAGATATTCTTAGCATCTGTTTCGGGTCAATTTGGGTATAAAGAAATACACTACCCCAATTGACCCGAATAAAAAATATCAAATTAATTATCTAGTACAAAAAGTTTAAAAATGGCTAACCTTATCCTCAAAAATAACAACACACCAGAAAAATCAAAATTACAAAGAACGAACATTATCTATGAGTTCAAAAGACCCTTAAAGTACTGTGTTTCTAATCAAACCGAACTCATAAATAATTACATCGGTCACACAACTACATGCCTATCCAGGCGACTTACGTTACACCTATCTGACTATAGCTCTATTAGAACCCATTTAAACACACACAAACTTACCAGACTCCATTTGAAATATACTAGTAGAAAACACAAACATAATAACCTCATCCACATGTAAAAACAGATTAAAAATAATGGAAGCCCTAATAATAAAAAAGAAAAAGCCAACACTTTACAATATTAACTACGAACACGGCTACAATGTGCTGTGTTCAGAAAAAAAAACATCTCTATAACACTAAAAACATATACACAACACACACACCCAATTAAACGGAAAAAAATAAAATCATCCTTGATAATGGATAAAAGTATAGCCGAAAGCGCTCAGAATTATGGAACGTTTGGACAGTTTCAACACACTCTGTGTCCAAAAAAGAAAACAATTGTTCGAACACGAGAAAAATTAAATAAAAAGCTTAATCGTGGTACTTTATCTGTCGTTTTTAATGAAACATGCATGAATGAAGGATTGCTACCTAAATACACACTATATAATATATATATATATATATATATATATATATATATATATATATATATATGTTGTTGGTTAATCAACTTGACTCTGCCAAAAACGCTCGTTAGGTAGCGCTCTTTAAGCCTATAAAAAGGCAAGCATGTGCTCTTGCTTTCAGATATAGTCAAACGTATGTACAATACGTTGCCGACGGGGAGCGTTCACTTTCTTCTTCCTATGTTGACATTTGAACTCTCTTACACGCACACGGGTCTATTCGTCCCCACCCCCCCACACACAACAAACACATTCTTATAGCTAGTTTCAATGTCTTTTCCTTTTATTTCAATTGTGCACACATGAAAACAATTTTGTTAATACATGCATTAATTATCGTTTGTTTTAAATACATTGTTTTGTGTTTTTTGTTTTTTACCCGGACTCACATGAGTCCGCCAGTAATGTTTGAGGGACAAACGTTTTGGGATCCCATAAATATTTAAGATAAAATGTCTGTACACATCACTTTAATTAGAATAAATATATTTATTTAAAATTAAGAAACCACATTTTTCTTTTTATGCCAATTTATTGGCACAAAATTAGGATACACATTAGCAGCCATAGATACAGAGTTCGAATACTGGCGTATAATTAAAAACCCGGTTCGAATTTAACATGGAAAATTGAACGTCATATTCCAAGAAAGCAAACTCCTTAATAAGAATTAATTTTCGTTAAGAAACTGTTAATCGTATTTTAACCCCTTATTTATTTATTTATTTATTTTTTAAGTATTTCATCTCAAGCAAGGCGGGAAGCCACTAGCACGCAAGGGGTTACAGAGGATTTAGAGCGAGAGCAGATAGGAGTGATAGAGGAAAGGATGAGGAGAAGGATAGTGGATAGATCAAGGCAACTGGGGATGTCAATTGACATTACATTTGAATAGTTGGAGATTATAGCTACCAGGGAAACAGGAATAGGGAAAGGAGTTCCACAGGCGGAAAGTGCGAGATATGAAGCTATTGGAGTAGAAGAGGCGGGTACATTTAACAGTTTCAACAGGGAAAGGGTGAGAGCGGGATGCCAGCCTCGTAGGACGCTTGAATTCGCGAAGTCTGGAAACCAGCGCAAGCAGCTCATCGGAGCAATTACCATAAAAGTATTTGTAAAAAAGACAGAGGGAGGCGACGGCACGTCTGTGAGAGAGCGACTGCAGACGAGATGCCAGATCAGGGCCAATTATATTGCATATCCGTCTCCCTTATTTTTTTACGAATTTATTAAATGCATAACGAAAAAAAAAAATGCAGAATTACTCTCACTTTCTAAGAACCCAGTCAAAGTCATCCATTGGAAAGGTCATTCCTGTTTTTACGTGTCCCTTTTAACTGTATTTTGTTCTACATAACATTTTCAGTATTCTGACCACGGGAAAAAAAACGATAGAAAGATTAGAGGCGGTTGAATAAAGTCAGCAGCAAGCATTTTCCAACATGCTCAGAAGTTTAGCATTGTCTTAATTTACAGTTAGAATGTTTATTCAACGTCACTGAATCATTATCAGATCTTTTAAGACATTTTTATGTTTATACATTCTTTTTATAGATACAAATATTTAAGTAAATGCTCTGCTTATAATAAACAGTATTAACAACATTTACCGGCCTGAATGTCCGATAAATTCTCATAGAAAATATGCGTCTTCCGACAGGAATCGAACCTGTATCCTATACGGAACCATCATATAGCCTGACGTGCCTTTAACCAATTGGGCCACAGAGGAGCGTTCGGTTAGCAAAGTCGATTTTACTGTCTTTAAACTACAATCTTCCATGATTCTCTCACGTACATTCATATCTGCTCATGGCGTATCCAAATGTAAACAAATGACGTCACACATTATGAAATGGACAAAGTCCGATAATTATTTTAAAGACATTTTTAGGTTTATACATTCTTTTTTTATATATAGATACAAATATTTAAGTAAATAAAAATATCTTAAAATAATTGTCGAACTTTGTCCATTTCATAATGTGTGACATTATTAGATCTGAGAATAATAGCTTTCTACTTTACAATATCTTTCCATTAAGTACTCAATACAGTAAATATATTCCAACATTATGAAATGTTCCCCAAAACAAGTCCTTTAAATATATTTTAAGTTGCTCGGAACCATTCAAATAGTAAATGTCATAATTTATAGGGATTCTTTAAAATGGCATCTTTCTTCAGGACGTAAGCGACCATGACTCGACATAATTTCCTTTTCTTTATTATCTGTGAATTGCTATGAGTTCTTGTGAAAGATAATGGAGTGATTTCCCGTTGGATTTTCCACGGTTTTTGAATCTGACAATTCTGGAGGTGAATCAGTTTATTACTTAATAACAATTGTGAACCAACTCCCCACTTTGTGCCCAGGATAAACTTATATTAATATTTAACGTAAATATATCTTGAAAACTTTTCCAGTGTTAATTGGTTTATATCAGTTTTATTGTGAAAACATTGACTTGCATAAGAAAACCTGCCATTATGTGATAATAGTCCGAGTGGGGGGGTGTATTTTATTACTTAGTAACAATATGAAACCGATCCCCTACTTTATGTCCAGTAGAAACATTCATTTGGTTAATATGAATTTTATTATGAAAACATTGACTTGCATCGTAAAATAATGTAATAATAAGGGGGGATCATTTTATTAATAAATAACTATAAAAACCGATCCCCTAGTTTATGTCCAGTAGAAACAGTAATATTTAATGCAAATAAATCTTGAAAGCTTTCTCAACATTAATTGATTAATACCAATTTTATAGTGAAAACATTGACTTGCATAATAAAATCTGACATCCTGTAATAATACTGGGGGATCATTTTATTAATTAATAATTATAGAAAACCGATCCTCCATTTTATGTCCAGTAGAAATGTATAGTATGTCCAGTAGAAATGTATAGTATCTACCAGTCGAAAATTTCCCCAACATCACTTGTTTACTACAAATTTTATTGTAAAACCTGCAGTATAAAATCTGCCATAATCAACTTCATTGATTCCAGTAACATTTCATAATTTCAACTTTTCACACGTGTAGATTTGATGTTCATTCGCTTCATTAGTGAATTGTGAATTCAAAATCAGGAGCAATGAATCATATTTTGTCACCTGAATTTAAACTATAATTCAGAGAAATAAAATTCGTTTATTAATTTTATAAACATTATGTAATTCGTTATTTCCATTAGACATCAATCTGGTTATTCTAAAAATATATAAGAATTTGTATGTTAGCCTTAAACAGAATATATATATATATATATATATATATATATATATATATATATATATATATATATATATATATATCAATGTACGCTCAATCAGACACACACACACACACACACACACACATATATATATATATATATATATATATATATATATATATCAATGTACACTTAATCACATACACACTCACATATATATCAATGTACACTTAATCACACACACTTATATATATATCTATATCAATGTACTCTTAATCCCGCACATATATACTATATATATATATATATATGTATATCTCAATGCACACTTAATCGCACACATAATATATATCAATGCACAATTAATCACACACATATATATCAATATATTCTTAATCACACAAACATGCGCGCACACACACACACACACATATATATATATATATATATATATATATATATATATATATATATATATATATCAATGCACACTCACTCGCACACACATATATAGGGTGACAATAAAGTCACTATACAGATTCCATTTTTGAAAAGAAACCGAAAATTATCGATGATCTCAAGCAATTTATTCGAGATGCATTTGCCATTACCATTTTTATATGTGGAGTCAGGAACGCTGTGTCATGGCTTGTGTAACAGACACCGTTTAAGGGGAGCTAACTAGGTATGCTGTGGAAAAATTTCGGACTTGAGTAGTTGCTATATAAAGGAAAAACTATTAATGACAAGCGTTAACATTTAAAAACTATCTATTGTACACATTTTTAAATGTTTGTGGAGTATTCGTAATTAATTTTATCGAGGTTTGGTTTCAATATTTTGATATAAATAGCTTCGAGAATTTTTATCATGTGTTTATTCTTTTTCGTGGAAAAGTATATATATATATATATATATATATATATATATATATATTACATTTCGACACTACAAGCACAAGAGATGCTCAAAATGGTTGCCTTTATCTTCCAGACATTTATTAGTACAGCGAACTACTGCCTGGGCAATGTTGGCCAAAGTGTCCAGTGGGATTGCTGCATTTGCATTTTCAATTTCTTGTCTAAGGGCTGCCAATGTAATGCCATCTGTCAAGAAAATATCGTACTACAGTAAACAGAGTTATCACAATTTGATCAAACTACGAAAGTCATGTTTTTTCTTTCATGAAATGTGTATATATTTTCTGGCAAACACTATATATATATATATATATATATATATATATATATATATTCAAGCATTTTTGCTTGAATAATCTACGCATATTATGTATATTTTTTTATTTTAATCCTCTGAATTCAATTAATTTAATTGAAAATTGTGAATTTTTTGTAAATGCACTTTGTTATAGTCAATTTAAAAAATCACGTTAAGAATATTTAAGAGAAGTAACTTAATTTATTTTTTTTATTATTAATGTTTTAAAATACTCAACTTGCAATTTTAAAAGAAATACAATTAAAGTATCCAAAAAATTGCTTTTATAGGGATTTTAAAACATTTTTATTATACTCGTAATTAATCTTACTTTGTGTTGGTTTCATATTTTTTATATACAGCGCTTCGAGTAGTTTTTTTTTTATTTTCTTGGTGGAGTATACTTGTATTGCCAATTAATATTAATGTGCATTTATAAAAAAAATTTACAACTATCAATTAGATTAAATTTTTGCTTTATCATTTCAACCTTGAAGATGATCTTGTATGAAATTGAAAGTAACTGGGAAAATAAAAGGAATGAGAAAAACTACGTCGTCTTCCTTAATCAGTTCAATAACAGCACCAAGAGATCGATACGTAAATTTGAGACGATTAAAATAAAATAAATAGGCATAATATGTTTACACTATTCAACCAAACATGCTTCAATGAAGATATGCTGCCTCTTTTTGTAGTGATTTTTTAACATATTTATGTTATAACTTTCGAATAAATAAATATATATATATATATATATATATATATATATATAAGGTTAATGATCAAAGTTGAATGAGACCAGAAAACAATAGTATTAAAAAGTGCTCAATACACGTGTGAAGAAAACATAAGTAAAAATAACATGTAGAGCTTTTAACTTTAAAAATAAGCAAACGAGAAGACAAGAAAGGGACGAGAAGAAGAAGAAGAAGAAGAAGAAGAAGAAGAAGAAGAAGAAAAAGAAGAAGAAGTCCTCGAGTGATGTGGTTTCTGTTATCTCGTATATATATATATATATATATATATATATATATATATATATATTGTTACAAAGCCAAAACATTAAGCAGAAAACTCTAGTCATTGTCTTGTCTGATCGAGTCTTTCATGTATATATCTAAAGTTTCAGCTGTATGCAACCCACTTCCTCAGATCAATGGTTAAAAATGACTTTGAACGAGTGAAACCTGCAGGTCTTGGCGGAGGCCATCTTTCTTCAAACATTGTAAACTGGCGCTACAGAATCACAAACAAATAACTGTATTAGATGAGAGAAACCAAATCACTTGAGGACTTTCAACGGCAGCAACAGCTAAAATGGATCTCACATGTCACTCGAAGAGAAAATAAGAACATAGTCATGATTCTGATGTTATACACTACTTCAAATAAACGGTTAGGAAGAAAACCGCCATTAGTACTGGAAGGAGCGATAACAGTTACTGGACTTTAGAAACCTCTTTCCTTGAAAAATTGCTTTAAGAGAAAGTTTTTTTATAAGTGGATGATCGGTCAATGAATGTCAAATGTTTCCTTATATGGAAACGGCTATTAACGGCTATTATTGCAGACGTCAGGGGGGGTACACATTAACCAGAATTTTACCCCTGTGCTGTTTGGAGACATTATGGAAGTTAAAAAAAACACTTCTTTTATTAACCCATCAAAAACGATGTCCTTTCATCGGTTTGATGAACATAATTTGGGGAAAGTTAATGACCAACGGTGCTTTCTCCACGGCGTTGAATTCTTCACAATTACCGTATTTGACGGCATATAGGACGCACGAGTGTATAAGACGCACTCCAATTTCCGCAGGGCAAATCAAGAAAAAATTGGTAAAATTAATAAAGCTACATATAGCATATAAGACGCAGGGGAATTTTAAAAGATATTTTTAGTAAAAAAAAAAAAAAAAAAAAAAAAAAAAAACAATGTGCGTTTTATATGCCGTCAAATATGGTAGTTACCCTACCAAAGCTAAAGTTTTCAATCCGACAAAGAATTTTATCTGTAGCCTAGGATAACAATAAAAACATTGCTTCGTCTCTTTTCCAATGACATTAGCGTGAAATGTAAGCAATAGACTTAACCAGAATTCGAACCCAGCTTTGCTGAGTCAGTTTTCAGTGACGATAGCCATTACGCCACCCGGACATGACGCAGCCTTTTTCAGAAGTTGTCCATCAACAGAAAAAAGACAAGAAAGAGCCTTTTCCCGCTATTATATTTGAGAATAAAGAAAACGTATCCATCGCCTTTTTATAATGACATTTCACCTTATTCCTTCGTCCAATTTGCACGTAGATCAAGTCTGGCAATCTATCAACAAGCAACCGAGAAACAGAAATTTGAGCATACATATAACTAATAATGATATATCATTATATATCTATATATATAAAGTTGTAGCCTGTGTCTGTATGTTTGTTATCGAAATCCTCCTACTGTTTTAGAGATAGACCCCCATAACCTTATATATTCTGAAACTACATTACCCAGGGCACTTGGATAAGTATATTTTATTTTGATTTTTTTCCTTTTGATTTTTTTCCTTTTGATTTAAATTAAAATTAGATATGTATAAGGGAATAGGTCCTATTCAAAATAAAGGAGAAAGCCAGAAGATGGAGGTCACATCTACAAGATCAGAAAGAAACATGGACGTCAAGTTGAGCAATAAATCACCAATCAGTGGGTAGTGCCTTACAATACATATTTGTTACGACAATTCAACTGTCAATGTTGAAATTAGCTCATCAGTTCATTCAATCAAGTATTACATCAAATACATATCAAAGGGGTCAGGTCAAGCTGTTTTTGCATAAACTCCCTATTGGAATAATTTCCGCCATTGATTTAAATTAAATTGAAATTTGAAAAAGAGAATGACTCCTATTCAAAATATAGAAGGAGAAAAGCCAGAAGATGGAGGTCACATCGTCAAGATCATTGAGTAATTATGAAATGCCTCATTTTTCTCCACAAATTATAACAATGATTTACAATCAATCATCATTTTCTTACAACAACAAAAAAAAAGAAAAAAGTGTGACACGCAGCAAGGCGGGGGTAATTCGGCTAGTAACAACAACAACAATAATAATAATAATAATAATAATAATAAAGAAATACAAAAAAATGTTCTCACAAGTACAGCCCACACTTTACGAAGGGCTTTATCTATGTAAAATATGATTTTTTTTGGGGGGGGGGGTTCGTTTTTTTTTTTTTTTTGTCAGTGGAAAGTGTCATGATGCCATTTCTAACCTTAGGTCTCTGGACGAGACCCTGAAAGAAATGTGTAAATGCCAGAAATCAAAGGAAATAATAATAATAATAATAATAATAATAATAATAATAATAATAATAATAATAATTGCCTCAAAATACTGTAATATAAGATCATTCTCTTCCCTTCAAAAGCAAAGTTACACTCATAAATATTAGTAAAGCAAATAAATTTAGTATCTGATCTCTAAGGTTATGCTAGTGCTGAAAGGTTCTCGGTCTGACCAAGAAGCCCCTTCAAAGAGAGAGAGAGGTGGGTGAGAGAGATAGCGAAAGAGAAAAACAGAAAGAGAGAGAAAAAGCGAGAGAAAGACATCTGGTGTCATATTATTCGTTTAAATTTTGAAAAGTTGGTTTGTCCAAGAGAACTTTGCAACACCCACACTTCGTAAAATATGATACGCCAATAAATAAACGCACATTCATCAACGAACTACAGTCGTCCTTGAGTCTATAATATCGGCATTAATGGTGACATTCCTGTCAATACCGTGGTTAATGTACGGTTCTTGCAACCAAATGAAGATGAGTTCGATTTTTGCCAGGAGTTGCAGCCTTATTTCAAAACTGATTTTTATCCTAATAGATATCGAGATACTAAATAGGAACATTCTAGAAAGGGAAACAAATTTTTACGTTACAACCAAATGCGAAAATCTACCATTAGATAATTCTATAACAGATCTGCAAAGAAAATTTTACGACAATTTAACTGCAAATGTGTTTTAGCCGTTTGCAAGTATGTTTGTCGCTTACGTAAGCCAGTAACTTGATAGTTATATATAAGTAGATTAAATATTACAAGACCGGCGCAGAGCAACACTAACATCGTTGCAATAATGATATTGTAATTATTATCATTGTTTTTAGTGTTGTTGTTATTATTATTATTATTATTATTTTTGTTGTTGTTGGTAGTGGTGGTGCTGGTGTTTTTGCTATTATTATTGTTGTTTTTCATACTATTATTGTTTTTGCTATTATTATTATTATTGTTGTTGTTGTTGTTGTTTTTGCCATTATTATTATTATTGTTGTTTTGAGTAATAGTATAGTTGTTTTTGATACTATTATTGTTTTTGCTATTATTATTATTGTTGTTGTTGTTTTTGCTATTTTTATTATTGTTGTTTTGAGTACTATTATTGTTTTTGCTATTATTATTATTATTATTATTGTTGTTGTTGTTGTTGTTTTTGCTATTATTATTGTTGTTGTTTTTTTTGCTATTATTTCCTTTAATTCCTGCTGTATACACATTTCCTTTCTGGGTCTCAACCAGAGACCTAATTTCAGAAATGGCTTCATGATGTTTTCCGCTCAACATTTTTGTAAACAAAAACAAACCCTAAGATCACCCACACAATTTACATGGTTAAATCTCTCCCTAAAGTGTGAGATGAACTTGTGAGTGCAATTTTTTGTCCCCCCTTCATTGAGTCTACGTAACCACTGATGGGTACGAGGTTTGTCTACATCAGCTTGTTTGGTACGGGTAGAGTATTCAGCATGAAGAAACTTATTTTGCCATCGTTTCTGCATTTGGTACATTGCATTTGCTTTTGTCTTCGTTTTTAGCTTCTTTGCCGCTGCAATAGGTGTATTATGGTTTATTTGCACTTCTTGACCCCTTTGAATTTGTTGGCTTCCATTATTACGGAATAATGTTTCTGATATCTTTCATGTTCTTTGACACAGATCATCATCCACTCTTCTGTAGTTTACAGGTATCTTTGAAGACCGAATGTTGTGGTTTTGTAAGCGAGTCCTAGTTGAACTAATCCTCTGCCTCCTTCGGATTTGGAAACATGCAGACAATCAACATGAGCCTTAAGATGATGCATGCAGTAGCAAGTGATAAGCTTTCTCGTTTTGTCATCCATTCGCTTAATGTCAACTATGATCCAATTAAAGATGTTGAAACGGTATTGCACGACAGGGACAGCCAAAGTGTTTATGGCTGATATTCTGTTTTTGGAATTCAAGTCAGTATGTAACCCCCAGACTCACACGCCTTGTCTTCTTTTCTTATTTTCTTTTTTTTTTCTTACTTTCTACTTCATTTGGGTATGCTGTATTTCATCTCCTTCACTGACTTCTAGGTATTTAGAAGTTTCTTATTGTTCCAGTTCCCTAATCTTTGTGAGAAAATCTAGATCTATTCAGTGTGTTCTCCCTTTCTTGAATGTTACTTTTTGCACATTTATCTAATCCGAAATCCATAACGATGTCATCACTGAACCATTTTAAAGTATTGAGGATACCTTTCAATTCATTGTAGTCTTTGGCAAAGAGTTTGATATCATCCATGTAAAATAGATAATTAAACACTTTCTTTTTTACTTTTTATCCATAGTTTACTGATTAGTTCATGCAAAAGGAGATTAAGGACAGCCAGAACAGAAGGGGTGGCAGGGAATCTCCTTGAAAGATTCCTTGTTAGATATTCAAACAACTGGAAATGGTGGTACCTTTGGTGTGATTTCGGTATAATGTTGCTTTCTACAGTTTCATGCTATGTTTACTGAAATTTACTATCACCAAGGAGACTTGGTACATTTCCAAAGGCTTAAGCACCCAAGAATGTGGCACAATATCAAAGGCTTTACAGAAATCTATCTAAGCTGTACTGAGATTTCTACCTTTATTCCTGCAATTTTCGACCCTTTTATTTATTAGCAG